TTCTCATTTTGTTCTGTGGTTGATTTCTAGTTTCATGCCATTGTGATCTGAAAAGATACTTGAAATAATTTCTGTCCTCTTAAATTTGTTGAGGCTTCTTTTGTGCCTGATGTGGTCTGTCCTAGAGAATGTTCCATGAACACTTCAAAAGAATGTATATTCTGTTTTGAGGGGGATATAATGTCCTAAAAATATCAACCAAGTCCAACTGTTCAATTATGTCATTTAGTATCACCGTTGCCTTATTGATTTTCTGTCTGAAAGACCTGTCCAATGATGTTAGTGGGGTGTTAAAGTCTCTTACTATGATTGTCGATTTCTCTTTACGTTAGTATTTGTTTTATAGATTTAGGTGCTCCTATATTGGGTGCATATATGTTAATGATTATAATATCCTCTTGTATTTCTCCTTTAATCATTGTATAGTGTCCTTCTTTACTTTTCTTTATGATCTTTGTTTTAAAGTCTGTTTTGTATGATATGGGTATTGCTGCTCTCACTTTCTTGTCATTTGCATTTGTATAAAATACCTTTTTCCTTCCTCTCACTTTCAGTCTATGTGTGGCCTTCACCCTAAAGTGGGTTTCTTACAGACAGTATATTGTAGGCTCCCATTTTATTATCCAGTCTGCCACTCTTTGTATTTTGATTGCAGCACTTAGTTCCATTGACATTTACAGTAATTATTGAAAGATGTGTGTTTATTGCCATTTTGAACTTTGTTTTCCAGTTGATTTGTTAGTTCTTCTTTGTTCTTTCTCTTTTCTTTTTGTTTTTCTTTTTGTGTTTTGATAATTTTCTTTTGTATTAGCTTGTTTTCTTTTTGGATTTTGTGATTCTGTTGTATGCTTTTGATTTGTGGTTACCCTGTTTTTCAACTATGTTAACCCATTACTATATCTGTTTGCTTTAGACTGGTAGTCATATGGGCTCAAACACATCCTGAGAAGAACAACAACAAAAATCTACATTTTCTTGTTCCCTTTCCCACCTTGTATGGTTTTGATTATCCTCTTTTACATCTTCATGTTTATTCTCTTGCAACTCATTGTAATTACTGCATTTCCAATTATGGTTTTCTGTTTTCTATAGCTTCCTGCTTCTTTTCTATTTAGAGTAGGCCTTTCTTTTAGGATAGGTTTAGTATTCCTCAATTCTTTTAGTTTTTGCTTGTCTGTGAAATTCTTTCTCTCTCCTTCTATACTAAAGAATAGTCTTGCTGGATAGACTATCCTAGGTTACCAATTTTTCTCATTCAGGACTTTGAACATATCTTGGCACTCCCTTTTGGCCCGCAATGTTTGTGTAGAGAAATCAGGTGATAGCCTTATAGGGGTTCTCGTGTAACTAACTCTTTGTTTTTCTCTTGCTGCCTTTAGAATGATTTCTTTATCTTTAACTCTGCCCATCTTGATTATAATATGTTCTGGTGTAGGTCTATTTAGGTTCTTCTTGTTTGGGACCCTCTGTGTTTCCTGTACTTGGATATCTGTTTCCATCTTTAAGTTCGGGAAGTTTTCAGTCATGATTTCTTCAAATATCTTTTCAATCCCTTTTGCTCTTTCTTCTCCTGGGACCAATATTATGTGTAGATTGGCATGCTTTATATTATCCCATAGGTCCCTTATATTGCTTTCATTAGTTTTCACTTGCTTTTCTGTGTGCTGTTCTGATTGGGTGATTTCTGTTATCCTCTCTTCTAAGTCACTTTTTCATTCCTCTGCATTATCTAGTCTGCTTTTGACTGGCTTTAGCTTGGGTCTTATCTGAGCCATTGAGTTTTCTGATTTTAATTGACTCTTCTTTATGGTTTTTATTTCCTTTTTATATTATTCTGCATTTTTATTCGTAATCTTTCTTATTTCCTTTGGTGCTTTTATCACCCCCTTTTTGAAGTCATGATCTAGTAGACTGTCAAGGTCTATTTCATTGTTCATTCTTTCAGGTGACTTCTATTGTTCTTTTAATTGGGAGTGGTTCCTCTCCTTCATTTTACTCATATTTCTCTTGACTTTAGGGATTTAGGAGTATCAGTTATCTACTGTGGTCTTGAAGTGCTTTTTTTTTTTTTTTTAAATGTGAGCATTCCTGTGTAGACTGTGTGCATCTAGTAATTTTGTCACAATGGCTGTTTTTAGTATGGATAGTTGCCACGTCTTACTTCTGTGTATGTTGACTGTTACCCATTCACTGGGGGTGTGGCCAGTGTTGTGGTGATCAGAGCCTGCCCTTGTTGTTGAGCAGGGCCTCCTTTCTGGTCTGTGATTGTCACAGCCTGGACAGTGGCTGGGTTTGCTCCCTTGTTGTTGGGATAGAGGCTTCCAGACCTGTTTTTGAGCTGCAGTGTGTGGCAGGCAGGGTTGGAGTGCTTCACCTGGGAAGAAGAGTGGCTGAGTACACCCTCCCAGTAGATGTCTACCAGGAAGTGCCCTCTGGTGTTGTCTGTCACTTGTTATGCTGGCTTACAAAGTACTCTTTGTTGATGCTGGCCTTGTCTCCACCTCAGCTGTGGGAATGTTGGCAAGCACTCTGGTATCCTACAGGTTCTACGCCTGCAGAGCCACCAGTTCATACCACCTGTCAGGCACCAGTACCCATCACAGTTGGCCCCAGCCCTCTCTCCAGGATCATCAGAGAGCTCCAGCAGCCAGTCCTGGCCCACCCCCACCAGCATGTGTCTAGGGCTTGGGATCGCAGGGACCCTCTGTGCTGGCTTCTCTTAATTCTGTCTACCAAGCAGTTGCTGCTTTCACCTGTAAGCCTAGTAAGCTCCCC